GAGAATGTAAAAGCAGTAATATTATCAGGATGTTTAGAATTTCAATTTTTATTGGCCGCCAACGCGATAACAGGTATGCAACGTATACCACACTTGGGGCTTGGAATAACTGACATAGAAGCCCTAGCAGGTGGAAATTGGGTTTGTGTATATTAACAAGATCTGGAGGGTTAGGCGCCGTAGTCGGGTACTTTTTAAAGCAATCGTTATCTTCTTTTTAAGCATTTTTAGGATTCTCCACGTCCATCTCCGCCAAAATTATGTTGTTCCTCGCCTCTAAACGTTGTCCGCTCTGCTAGTTCAATCCCTTCTCCCAACAATGCTGTCCTCCTCCTCCTCCTCTGTTCCGCCCCTTGTTTGATGTTCGCTTCTTCAAGAGATAGCTGTTTCGACTCGCTGACCTGAACACCCTCGACCTAGTTTACCTCGCGTGCAAGATAACCACGGCTGATCCAAGGGCCATTTGAATATCTCCCCTTGCGGACGCATTATGGACCTCTGTACAAGATAACCCCTTCCGGGCAATGTTTCACACCAATCAGACGCCACATTAACTGGCTCCAAAGTCACATAAAAGCAGCAGTCGCCCCCTCACCCACAACACACGCGCTCCTAGGCCCGGATTCGCCCTGCACAAGTGTGGTGTTGTTGGACGAGCGCCGTTTCTCTGTCTAGAGTCAGACGATATTTGGCCGACTCTTCACTTGCTTTATAGGTTGGGTTCATACCAAGGCGCTCAGAGAGGACAGTATTTCCGCAGAAAGCTACAAGTCTTGTGTCGATACCTTGGCTCCTTGCCTTCATCAGGTGATTGAACAAGCGTGGGTGTGCGGGCCAGATATTTACGTTGAGCTACATTCTGGAATTCCGTCATAGCTACCAGCAACCGACGGCCGTCTGCTTTGTCGACTTGGCCGACGCGTTCGATTCCATTCATCGTGAGTTTCTTTAGCAAATAATGGAACTAGATGGAGTACCGGTCAAACTCATTGCCATGATTAAGGTCTACTATCGTTCTACCACTGCATCAGTTCTCGTCCACAACAAGCTCTCTCAACCGCTCGATGTCCGGTCTGGTGTCCGACAGGGCTGCGTCCTATCGCCTATTTTGTTTACGTACGTCATTGATTGGATTCCCGGGAAGGCCTCACATGAGGAAGACGGTGTTGAACTTGCACCCGTACGCCGGTTGGCTGATCTCGACTACGCCGATGATAGTGCGCTGCTAGCCTCAAGCTTTGGTGGTCTACAGTCTGTAGAGTCGCGGATGAATGAGATCGCTATTTCGGTCGGAATATCCATAAATTTTGGAAAGACGAAGTTATTCTCCAGCTGCATTCCTGACCAGGAGAAGGCACCGCTGGGGATTAATGACCATCAACATGAAGAAGTAGACAGTTTTAAATACCTCGGGGCGAGACTACTACCGGATGGACAAAGCAAGGACGGCATTGTCTCCCGCATCGATGCTGCTCGCTGTGTTTTCTTAATCCTTAGAAAGCGCTTATGGATCCGACGCGACATCTTCATCGCCACGAAGATTCGTGTATGCCGTGCATCCATCCTGTCAGTTCTCCTCTATGGATGTAAATGCTGGGCTGTGCGCGCTGAGGATGAATGAAGACTGGAGGTCTTTGACCACCGCTGCCTGAAGACCGGTCTGCGAATTAAGTATACCGACTTTATCTCGAATGAGACAGTCCGCACTCTCTGCGACTGTATCGCGAGGACACCTTAGGCCATTCAAGAAAGGTGACTGGGGTTTGGGCACGTTCTCTGTCATCCGCCCCACGAACTTAATGACGCTGCCCTCGATCCGCCGCCGTAGCCCACCTGGAGGTGGCGAAGAAGAGGGCAACTGAAGATTTGGCTCGACACCGTCCGTCAAGACATGGAAGCAGT